GTAGGAGCCTCTGCACAGTTTTTTGTTTGATACACTGAATAATGCTGAACTTATATCTTTCTATTAAAGGATCAAAAAGAAAAACTGACAGGATGGAAAATGCTGAAAACAAGAGACAAAAGCCTTCTGTGCATTCATCAAGGCAGATGATGCCAAAGCCTCCTAGTTCATCAGTTAGTAATAACAAGAGAATAGTGAGTACAAAAGGAAAACCAATATCAGAATACAAGAATGAGGAGTATCAGAGGTCTGATAGAAACAAGCGTCCAGATGGTGATCGAAAGACACGCATGTCAAGCAGTTCCAGGGAACCTTATAAAGGACAACCAGAAAAAACTTGCTTGAGGAAGAGGGATATTGACAGAAGGGCAAAGTCTTCTACACCAGATGGTTCAGAGGTATTAAATATTCTTGCTGCCTTTATAAATAAAGCAATTATGAGACTTATAAGGCACATTCTCTTAGCACTGTGTGTGCATCCTGACAATGTTATATGACTGCTGATTCACTTTTTCTTTAAACATCAGAGAATCAGGCATGATGTGGATAGAAGACCAAGCAGATCCAGCCATTCTTCTAAAGAAGAGGTGAACTCTGAGGAATATTGTTCAGATCATGAGACTGGCAGTAGTGGTTCCTCTGAACAAGGCAATACAGAGAATGAGGAGGAAGGAATGGAAGAAGAGGAAGATGATGAAGGGGAGGAGGATGAAGAGGTGGAAGAAGATGGGGAGGAGGATGAAGAAGAGTATGAACAGGATGAGAGAGATCAGAAGGAAGGAAATGACTACGACACGCGAAGCGAAGCCAGTGATTCCGATTCTGAATCCGCCTCTTTCACAGATGGGTCAGTCAGATCTGGGTCTGGTTCAGATGCATCAGGTAGGTAACATCGAGAATGTGAATCTGAAATAACCTTGCCATTGAAAATTTAGCTGCTTTTAAAAATAACCACTTCCTGACTGTGGCAAAAGTAAGTCTTCAGTAGCACAGGTCAGTAAGATAGTAATTATGAAATACTGTAGACGAGGAAAAAATGGTATTTCCTTACACCAAAACTTGTGAGTGTCAGGATTGCCATGCTGAGGATTCCTAGTGTTATTGACTGCTTTGGCCTGGCTGTTCAGTGCTTTGAAATGTCAGAATTGGTATTTTCTTAGGTATCTAATGGCTTAGGCTCCCATAAGATTCATTTTAAGTTGGTGTTGAACTGTTCTGTATTCATCTAGATGAGTGACCAGGTAGACCGGTGTACTAAAAGCACCATCTCCCCAGGGAAGGATAGTTTAATCTGAAATAGTAGCTGCCTTCAGCATAGGAAATCTAAACCTAAATTGAAATGATTAGCTGCTAGGGCAAACTTAGAAGTGTTTTAAGCAGAAACTAGAAACAAGTGCTTTGCAGTTATAACTGGTGTTAACTTACACATGTGAAGTGTTAATGGTGTATATAATGTTGGGTTTGGCTGTTTGTTTTGTTTTGGTTTTTGTTGATGGTTTTGTACGAAAACAGCTTGTAATCCTGTTAAGATTCCTCTTGTGTATATTCCTTGTCTGAAGTCTCCACAGGTGGTCATCCTGCTTAACATAATGCCTTTTTTTAGCTCAGCTCTGCTATTTGGAATTAGAGAACAGAAAGGTGTAACCTAAGGACAAGTGAAGCTGTAGTAACTGTTCTAAAAAGCTCTGTAGTATAACATAACACTTTTAGGAGTGGAAATAATTGCCTGTGCGCCACAGTGTTTTGTTTTCATACCTCTTGCCTTTTTGTTGAGCTCTGAGCAGATAAGCTCGTATCACTGTCGCAACGCAGTTTGTGCTCTATGTTGCAAATTTGGCTGAAGAGCTAAACTAGCCTTACTAAAACAACTAGGAGGTGAATTCTGCCTCTAAACTTTGCACAGAATTAGTAGATTTTTTTGAAGTTTCTTTTCCTTTAATGAATGAAAAACTTAAGAAATCAGCATTAGCTTCTTCTGTGTGTGATACTTTTGGGGCAGCAACCACAACTTCTCATGCAAGTCAAATGCCAGCTGCACTATTATGGATGTTATTTTCCTGTCTCAGTACTTTTAATCTCAATTTTGCCTGCCACTTGATGTTTAAATTACTGCCTTTATTTGTTACGGGTTTTTTTAGATGAGAAAAAGAAGGAGAGGAAGAGAGCTAGAGGTATCTCTCCAATTGTTTTTGACAGAAGTGGAAGTTCTGCATCAGAATCGTATGCAGGTATTCTTTCCTTTTATTACTTGTCATCCTGACTTGCATCAAATCTTAATGTGTAATCTAAAATAAATGTAACTGGCTATAGAGATATATGGGCTATGTAGCTTTGTATAATTTGGTATTGACTTCTGGCATGTTGTGTGTGGATACCTTTGGGGGGAAGTAGGCTTTCTTGTTACTTTAATGCTATTCTGTTGCTTAAGTGGAATTTTCACTTTTTTTTTTTTTTTAAACTTGGAAGATGATGATTCAGTGACTAGTTTTCTGAGTAGGAAACTGTTCAAATACTATTTTAAAAAAACAAACCCAAACCAAACAACCCAAAACCAAATCAAAAAACAAACCTAAAACAAAACACTCGTGCACATTGACTAGTATTTTTTGTGTGTGTGGGTGCGCGCCAGAAAGCATAATTTGTCATGAATGAAAATTGTATGTGACAAGGCTGTAGAAATTGTATATTATCTCTATTAAGGCTCAATCTGAACAAATGTACTTTGGCTAAACACAGGTTCAGAAAAGAAGCATGAGAAATTATCATCTTCCGTTCGTGCTGTCCAAAAAGGTATCATTTAAATTTGAATTTTTAATGCATGCCACATGCAAGCCATTGTCTCTGTTCATTAAATTACCTGTAAGTAGTAATGTTCCGATATAAATCAGTTTGAGCACATAATTGTTCCAAGCATAACAAGTGAATCTTGAGCTACTTTTGCATATGTTGGAAGCGATATGCAAAAAGTTGAGTCACTTTGCTCCTTATAAAGATGGCAAAGCAAAAACCAAAGTGCTTGCATCTGAAAAGAGGAAGATTTCAGCATTCTCTGTTAGGGAACTCATGCTGATACGAATATTACCCAGTATTTGACCAAACATTCTTAAGCAAGGAAATTAAGGCCTGTATATCGGAGCATCACTGAATCATGCTGATTTTACTTTATTTTTTCTTTACCTCAATATTTAAGTTTTAGTTTTGATTTGGTTTCCCCTGGCATCTTATGCTCTACAGCTTAGGCTTCAAGTTGGGTGGTTGACTGTGATAATACACAGGAGTAACTGGGTGGGATGCAGTGTATTTTAAAAGAAACAAACGGCTATCTGACTCAACATTTTTTGACAACTCTAGATATTTACGGCTCAGCTTATTTAACGCTTTGTTTTTCCAGACCAAACAAGTAAACTTAAATACATTCTCCAAGATGCAAGATTCTTTCTTATCAAGAGTAATAACCATGAAAACGTATCACTTGCTAAAGCAAAGGTATGTTGAATTTGCTTCAGACTGATCTATTTTCAAACACCCATGTTACTGTAGGAAAGCATGTAGATAGATGTATTCTTTTTTCCATCTGGGTAGAGGCAAGGATGAAAGCTACTGTCCCTTGATTCTTCGAGGGTAGCTATTCTGCTTCCTCTGTAATCCAGAAATATTTCTAGACCATCAGTCATTTATCTTGATAAGAGTAAGGTAAAAAAGGGGCCTCAAGATCTGTTTGGTAACATCCTAAGCTACCCTCCACTGAGAGTGCTGTGATAGTATTTTCTCCCTTTCATCAGACCTGTGTTCATGTCACTATACTGTGAGGAGGTTCAGAACACTGTTTTGACTTTCATCTAATCCTATAAAAGTAACTTTTTTTTTTTTTCAGTTGATTCAGTGATCTGAAGCCTTATTGTAGGAACATGTGCCTTGGCAGTGCTGGTGTGAGGGATTTCCATGGAAGGGATTCCAGTGTACTGGACCTCTGCTGCTGAGGAATGGCACTAGGCCACTCTGGTGGTTTTGTGTTTGCATGTGTTACTTGGAACAGCTTGTAAAAGAAAATAGCTGATTTGTAGTTACTCAATATACACAGCGTAGGTGTTTCTCTTAATGAAGATTCTTCTAAAATAGAATAGCATTAAAAAATAAAATGAATCTAAAATTCCTAGTCGCATTTGGCTCCCCCGTACTTCTCCCTCAGCCCCAGCTTTGGACCTGATCTGTGCAGTTAACAGCATTCTGACTGGTGTTTGCTTTTGCTAGTTCAAGGAGCATGTCCTTCGTGGGTCTTATTCACTCTTGGGACTGCAACAATATCCTTGTTCCTAAAGTTCTTGGAGTGGTTGCTTTGCGTCTCAAGTGCGTAGACATCAATGCTTTGCCACTGCACTTTCACAAAACTGGCTTTTGTGGTGACAATGTAATAAGTTGTTCTAATTCACAGCAGGACTTCACAAGTAGCTTAAAGCAATATAAATCTGATTGAAAACTGTTGTGAAAGAAAAAAACAAGTAATTCTTCAGTAACCCTAATGAATTCTGAGAGTCAGGCAAGCACTAACCTGGGCATAGAGTAGGACATGAGAACATATCTTCCATAAAAAAGGAAGGGGTGGAACACTTTTTTGGTAGGTCCTAGATCATTTTATGAGGCTGAAGTTTAAACATACTAAACCAGCATGAGCTGCTCCTCTGAGTTTGTCTAGAGAATATACTGGGGAACTGATCTTGCTGAGAAGTAATGGATCAAACTGGTATTCTATAGCTCAGCTGGTATCTTAAAACAAATTTGGGTTATTGTGCATGGCTACACAATGGGTGGTGAAAGGGAAAAGGTGGGAGTTATGTGGGAGGCTGAGCAAACTGTTTAGAGTTGTGTTGCCAAATTAAAACTGTTGGTCTGGTGTCTTTCATGTTTCTGCCCTTATACTAAGAGTTTTGAAGTCTGCAAGCTGTCCTCCACAAATCTGTCATGCTAAGGTTACTGAACTCTGTCTGCCCACCTTTCTGTATATATGCTGCTGGTTTTTCATCATTTGTGCATATGACATAATAGATGACCTCCCAGAGCTGCTTAAAACATGCATTAAAAACACTAGAACTAAAGGTTTTCATGTATCTGTCCATCATAATTACAAATGAAACCTTTTAGATGGTCTAAATGCATCTGCAGTGTTCAAAAAAAAAGTTGAAAAGCCAATGTTTTTTAAAAGTTTCATCACGGGGCAGGTTAAAAATATTTTCTGAAATAAACTGAATTTAGCATTACCTTTCTTTTTCCATTATCTCCTATTCCAGAGCACTAGTTTGGTCTTGTTTCCCTCATCTGCATTATATACTTCTATATATGTAGCTAAGTCACTTGAGATGAACTCTTATATTTTGGGGGGGGCGTGGGGTTGTTTTGTTTTAGGGAGTATGGTCGACACTTCCAGTGAATGAAAAGAAGCTTAATGCTGCATTTAGATCAGCAAGGAGTGTTATTTTGATATTTTCTGTAAGAGAGAGTGGCAAATTCCAAGGTAAGGGAAAGTGAGCTATTATAAAGGTAAGTGAAATTAAGTTTTATGTGCAGCAGCTTTTATGTTGTCTTTGTTACAATTCATGTGAAATCCTTTAGGATTTGCAAGACTCTCTTCAGAGTCCCATCATGGAGGATCACCTATACACTGGGTGCTGCCTGCAGGAATGAATGCAAAAATGTTGGGAGGTGTCTTTAAAATTGACTGGATTTGCAGGTAAATAATTGTTGATTTATGTTGCTGTTTAGTAACAAGGCATCATAGTACCTTTTATGTGTAAGACTCCAGTGGTGACAGCATCCTTTCGAAAACTCGACTCAGCCAGAGATCTGTCCTCCAATCTCCCCAAATCCTCCATGTTACTGAGCTTAGGACGCTATCAGGTACCTGACATACACAATAGAAATTTATTTTTAATGTAGGCAATAAAAAAAAAAGATTTTTAACAGTTGATTGTGTTCCTTCACTGATCGCTTGCACTGAAACCAGAAAACTGTATTCTGTAGTCTTGGAGTAAAAACTGTGCTCTTGAATAGACAGTGGTGGATAAAAGGGAAAAAAAGTCCTGTATGGACAGATTTGTCTTCATCTGATATCTTGGCATCTAACTGAACAAAGAAAATGTTGCTGCTCTAAGATAATGAAAATAGTACAGATATTTTTGCATAATGTATAGGTGCTGAGCAGTATGTTCACTGACTTAGTATGTCTTACAGAAAAGATTTTAAAACTCTCTTTAGAAAAAGAGCTGTATCGGTCCTTTGAGATAAGTTGCACGGTTGTACAAGCACTTTGGGCTGCCAGAAAAACTAAATACAGGGACAGTGAGACTTCAAATTAGAGGAAAAACCTAGGTTGGAAAGATCCTCTGGAAGTTACTGACTCCCACCTCCAGCACAAAGCCATTCTGGCTTCATAGTTAGGTCAGATGCTCAGGGATTTATTTCCATGGGTACCATGAGCTACAACCTCACATAGAGACTTCTCAGTGTATTCAGATGGCGAGATTGTACAAAGACAAAAATTTCTTCAGTAAGATAGCCTGTCATAGTGTGGACTAGGTAATAACGGAATAAGTCAAAGTGAAATCTTCAGTTAATGATACTTCATATGTACTAATACATTTGTTCTGAGACCTGACAGTGCAAAGGGCAACAGGATTATTTGTATGTAATGTCTTGCTGTATTCGTTTTTAATTTTTTTGAATGAAAAATGGAGGCAACACTATAAATGATGCCACTTGCATATTTAGGCGTGAATTGCCGTTCACTAAGTCTGCTCACCTGACCAATCCTTGGAATGAACATAAGCCAGTAAAGATTGGACGTGATGGACAGGTCTGTTAATTCTTTTTTTCTTTGACTTCCATGTTCTAGTGCTTGCTTTCAGCTTTGTATGTACAGAAGTTTTGGAATCTTCCTAGATCGATTTCTGCTTGCAGTAGAGTACTGTGACAAAGGTACTCAGCTTATTTCTAATGTTGCTGTGGAAGGAGACAGAAAACAATAGGGTACCAATTCTGTTGTCATATTTGTGATTAATAGTGTTTGATGCTTCAAAACCATGTCATGTTTTGGATTTGAAATGTAATATGCCTTGCATTGTATAGTGTGCAAACCTATATAGCATCAGTTTGTAAGAACAAGTTCTGATGTTTCCAGTTGTGTTCTGCATTGCATTATTTTTATATACGGAATTGCTTAGGGCATAGACTCTACCATTATAAAGTATATGCTGGGTAAATTTTAAGTGGGGTGGCTCTTTGTCTTGTCAGACATACCAGAATGCAGGTATGTTGCTGCTGTCATCAAGTAACCCAGCCTTGAATAAAATGACAGGTTCTGCTTTCTTACAAGGAAGCAGGATGGTAGTTGCACAATCCCCATCCTGTATGGAAGATGTAGATTCTGTGTGTTACTTTGCCTACAGACACGTTCACTTTGTTGGGTAGCAGAAGTAAAATGGTATTTTTGGTCTTGTTTATAATATAGTGTGAACTTAAAACAAGGGGTTTTAGTTAACTTTATTTCTGTTAAATGGTTAAGGAAATATATTTTTTTTTCTAATGTTTTGTCCATTTCACTATAAAGTTGCAATCTTGATATGGGTTTCATAATTTTTCATAAAATTGCTGTGCTATTAGGTACTGGCCAAGCAGCATTGTGTGATGCTTGCTTTCCCTGCTTTTCAACTCTGGTTATTTTCTGAAGTGGTGGTTGTTTGTCCGTTTACATTTTATGTAACTGAATGGATTTCTCTTATGAGGATATGTACACTGAGCTTCCTGCATTTATGACGTCCTTTGGGAAGGTGTTCCACAGGCCTGCTTTTTTGGATTGTTTTGCAACTGACTCCTGTTAGTTTCATTTGATGGCCCCAAGTTCTTGTGCTGGAAGAGGGAGTCAAGTTGATCTCTGTCACTCCTCTCTCCTCCAAACAACTAGTGGTGTCAGCCGCTCCTGTTGTGTCCTTCTTGTCCCCCATGCCCTGCATACTCCTATTTTATGCTAGGCTGGAGAGACCCGACCTGCTCAGTCATCGCATGGAATTGTGCTCATTCAGTTATCCTTGCTGCACTGCTTTGTAGCTTTTCCATTTCTGCTATTCCCGTTAGCTTTTTGAGATGCAGTATTCAAGGTGTGGAGTCCATGGAACATGGATTTTCAGTGTGGTATGATGACTTCCTCATTCAGTGTTACTTTCCTAATAATCTTGAACACAAGATCTGCTTGTTCTGACTAATGGCAAGCATTGAGCTGGTATTTTCATGGACCTGTCATTCATACACTGAAGAACTCACTTCTGACTGGTAGTAGTCAACTTCATCAGGCCACGCCTTTATATGTGAAGCTGGGATGGATTTTTTTGCTTCCCTGCATGTGTTGCTTTTCTCTGTGTAATAGGTGATTATTTTCTTTGGTTATGAAAAACAATACTCTGATTTTGTAGCAAAAGAGTGATGTGGCCTGTATGTCTTATGGAAAGATACGGTTGACCCAAGTGTTGGACTATTTTATGAAAATTCTAAGTAGTCCCTAAAGAGTGAAAGGTAATGTAAGTGAAATTTGCCCGATCTGGTAATACTGAAATCTCTTCAAACTGTTTTGTTCTTGCTTCTTGATTTATTTTATTTTTTTTTTTTTTTTTTTTGGGAGGGTTTATACGTGTTGTTAATATATTTGGAGAGTTATTTGTTCAGTTCATAAACTACTACTGAACTTCTAACTAATTCTAGGAAATTGAGCCGGAATGTGGAACCCAACTTTGTCTTCTCTTCCCTCCTGATGAAAGTATTGACTTGTATCAAGTCATTCATAAAATGAGGCACAAGAGAAGAATGCACTCACAACCCCGATCAAGAGGACGCCCATCCCGTCGAGACCCCGTTCGGGACGTGGGAAGGTTAGAAACGTTCTTTGGACTGATAATAGGCACATGTATCAGAATAACGTGATGGAGGAATATGATTCGTCAAAGCTTTCCCTGCGATAAAGAAGAGAGAAAATCCTCAAATCAAGCTGCATGGACAAGTCTGTGGCTTCATTGAGGATTTCACATGGTTCCCCGGTCTGTCATTTTTCAAGAGGAAAATGGGGATCTTTGCTTTTGCAGAAAAAAGCTCTTAAAATGCTGTCTAGTTTAGACTAGATGATTTATTAAGATAATGCAACATGTAATGCTAGCTGTAGGTAGGCTTGGATGGATAAAGAGCAGGCTAGATGGAGAGAAGGAAATATTTATATGCCAAAAATGTGTTAATATCTTGTAAAAGCCTTTTCTTTCAGGTATGTCTCTGGATAAGCCTTATCAAATATGGGACTTTTATAAGGATCACTTAGAATTTTGCAGAAGATGCCGCCTCATTTTGAGGATAAAATATTTAAGTTATTTTGATATTCAAGAGGAGCGTTATTGGGACTGTTTCAAATTGTGTCTCCGTGATGTGTTAACCCCATTGCCAAATATTCTCTAACATGTAACCACTGAATTCACACATCTTGCTGAGCTTCTGAAAACAGTAGGTTCTTTCCAAAAGGGATCAAGTGGCCCTTGGAGACCCGGCAACAAACCAAAAAGAATGGCTGTTGCTGTGTCTGTATATACAACCTTTCCAGATGCTGGCAGTACCTGTGGACTTTAAGTATTTTTAGAGGATCGACATGGTTATTGATCACTGCTATATGAACTTAACATCATTTTCCAGAAAAAAGGGGGGATAACTTGTTACAGAATTGGAGAAGTCTTTGCAAAGAACTGATATTAGCTCTTCTGCCAAACACCTTTTCCCCCGTGTAGCCACTTTGCATACAGACTGATGTATGGTTTGGGCTGAAACCTTTGGTTAAGTTTCCTCTTTGTGGAAACATGCTGTGGTAGGTACAGATGCCCAACAAGAGTCCCCATTTCCTTGAGCTTAAAAAAAGGACACTGTAACGAGTAGGTAGGAGGAAACCTGGCAGCACCCCCTATTTTTGGCTTTAAAGGACTGAACACCAAGATGGCTTTTGAAGTTAAGCTAAGAGGTTTCCAGTGCAATAAAGTATATACAAGTGAAGGTTTTGCAATGGACTGCAAACTATACATATAACACCACCACACCTTCTCAAGCCTGCCAGGGCCTCCATTTATGTGTGTGGCTTACAGCTTAAAGTCAGTAGTTGGACTACTATATGAACTGTTTCTATCATATTTTATACCGGTCGTAAATGCACTCTCAAAACTACAAGAAAGCGGTATGTTTATTCTTTACACCAGCTTTTATTTTCCTTGATCTGATTTTGCTGTTAGATGCAACTGCTTTGGTTTTTGGGCTTTTTTGCTCATAGTAACGAATCTGCTTTCATTTTAAAAAAGCTTAGTAACTGGGTATGGTGGGCTTTCAAGATTGAAGTGGGGAAGGGGGAGGAGAAATGACACTATAAAAGCTACATGAGTTTGTTAGTGAGCAAGTTGCACAGTAATTAAGTGACTTAAAGTGTTAATTTTTGTCACAAGGAATTACATTGCTGGGGATGGGAAGGGAATGGATTTGTAGCTGCTTTGTGCTTAAAAACACTGTTATGTTACCATTGGAGTCTTCCATTAATGTCTGTGTACCATGATGGAGCAAAATTAGCAGCCAGTTTCTTTATTAAACATAACAGCAACTGGAACGTAACTGGTTTATAATTAAGCTTCCTTCCTGAGAGTGAAGTTCTTAAAGAAAACATTTCTTCTGTAAAAGAGCTGTTTGTACAGAAAGGAGCCCCAATTAGTTTAATTATTAGGAAGCTTAAGTGTTCTTAAACTTTTTGTAAAAGGCACCCCTGCATTGCTGGTACATTGCTTAGAAAACTCAAATTGTTAGAAATAATGTCATTGGTCTACCCAGTTAGAAAAGCTACAGTGAAAGAAGCAATTCCGTAAAGCATACACAATTTTATTTATAAATATGGTATGGAAATAGACTTTTTATAGTATTCTTTATAGCTATCAAATACAGCAATGTCCATGCCTTCTGACTGTAATGATATGTTTTGCCGTCTATTTTCACTGTAGTACTGTAAATTCTTTTGTTATCCAGTAGGTTGTTTCAAAATGTAATGTGGAAAGTGCAATGTTAAAGCCTAAGTTGAGTTTGTTTTAGAGAAATTTGTTACCCTTTGTTTCGTGCAGAGGTGCAGTTAGGTAGAGTTCCTTCCTTAACTACCAAAGCTCCTGTAGCCAGAAAGTAACAGTGGAAGGTGTTTAGTTGGACTGTTGTTCCCAATTATTCAAGTTAAATTTAAGCTGTAGAATGTTTTGAAGCAGATGGAGTTCAGAATGTTTAAATTGAGATCATGGGCAGCTCAAGCTATTCCTGTGAGGTATTCTGCTGTATACGAGTGCTCCAAGCAACCTTGTTTAATCTTTGATATCTAATTTGTGTAGGCGTCGACCAGAAGATTATGATATTCATAACAGCAGAAAGAAACCAAGGATTGACTATCCCCCTGAGTTTCACCAAAGACCAGGTTAATATCTTACTATGAAGATTTGTGTGCACCAGTTCACAAATGTTTTCTCTTTTAGTCAGAAGTAAAATACTGATATGGCTGGGATATAAAAATGGGACTTGTCCCAAGTGCTACCTGATGGGTTAACACACCTCTCACAGAAGTCAGTGACACTGTCTCACTGGTTTGAGAGAGAGCGCTGAGTTAATCTAGGCTGAGCCCTTTTAAGAGCCTCAGAATGGTGTACATTGTGAATTACCTCCTCAAGCGCTTTGTTAATACTGGCACAAGAAATGGTTTGACCTACTTGTCAATGTGCTAATTGTCAAATTAAAATGCTTATCAGAAGTTTCCAGCTGGGAAAGTCAGCTGAGGTTGCCTGACAAGCAGCCTCTCTTTAAAGATAATGGTACGCATTCGGTTATGTTTTCAGAGGGAATTTATTTACAAGCTTGACAAGAAAGGGAGGGGGAAGTTTCACAGCACTTTACAAGAGGGTCTAATGAAGAGTTTGAGAAAGGAATTTTGTTGTTCTTGAGACAGAAATGTTTGTAGCAACAACACTGTTAATATTGCAGATTTTTTTCTTTCGGAAAAGAATTGTTATGAAACTCTCACTTTACCAAATTGTGCTTCACTGCTGTTAGAAATACATTCATATTCCACTATTTCAGTAGTAAATTTCTAAGTATTTCGTGAGAACCTGTCCAGCTTGACTGAAAAGCCATGTTCTTTGATGCAGGAAGAGTGTTGTTGCTCCCTGGCTTTCCAAGACCATTGTTTAGAGCAAGCGTAGAACGAATAAGCTTGGAAGCATAATCTTACTACCATAAGCATGCACCATATTACCAAGCTCTTTAAAGTTTACTTCCTGAGATTTACTGAAGCTGTAAGAATTCTTCACCCTGTGGGGCTTTTCCAGACCTTTTTTTAGGTTTTGTATTTTCTGTGTAACATTGTATACAAAACCTATTAGGAAATGGGCCTTAAGAGTTGCCCAGATGAACATGTTCTACTGAATACACAGTTAATAACTAGTAACAACCATGTGCTAACTGCCAGTGGACAGTACCCTTTGAATTTTTGGGCATTCTCAGTTCATTTGACTAAAATTCAAGTTTTATTTACACAGACAACCCTTTGCATGTTTATTTGTACTGTGGGCAAGTTCCCATGGGTGTATAATTTTTGTGTTACTACATTATACTATTTTTCTGTACTGTTTACAAGAAGTTTTAAGATTTTGAGAGGTATTGTGAAAGCAAAGGTAATGGCAGGTAGACACAACTTCATATCTGGCACAGATCGAAAGGACAGTTTCTAATGAGAATATTTTTTAAGACTGTTAACTTGAGATGGTAAATTGAATTAACACTGCTTGATGTTTGAACAGGGTATATAAAGGATCCAAGATATCCCGAAGTAGACAGGTAAGGTGTGTTCATGTTGTTCATTTTATGCCCTGGTAACTTGTCTGTATGGATAAATTGGATTTAGTTCTACAAATTTTTATTCCCAACAGACGATTTTCAGGAGTTCGACGAGATGTATTTTTAAATGGGGTAAGTTGGCGCATGCAGACTTTTGGGGAACTTTTTATATTCAGCTTTCTGCACTGCCAAAGAATGCTCATCACAAATGTTAATATTACTTTCTCTCATTTTAGTCCTACAATGATTACGTGAGGGAATTCCACAACATGGGACCACCACCTCCATGGCAAGGAATGGTTTGTGTCTTGTTGAATTCAGTTTTTCTCTGAATATGGATTTTTTTGTTCCCCTCTAGAGGAGCCCAGCATATTCAGTGTGTGATCAACTCTTCCTTTTTCCTAAAATGTATCTTTCCTGTAACTATGTAAAATTTTAAGAGGGAAAATTATTTACGTCGAGTATTTTGTAATATACTTGGCAATCCAGCAGTACAGGAGCAGGAGTCTGACATGTTTTGAACCTGCAAGAAACTAAAAATTATGAGGAAATAGCAGAACCCTCCTGTAGCCTACACAAGAGGGTGTGATGAAATTTTGTATTCTGATAAATGTTCATTGCAATTGGCTTTCTCTTAAACAGCAAATACAACAAAGAGGTGGACTTGCTGCAGAGGCTCATGGAATGGGCTGGCACACTCTAGTGCTGTGTGGTAGCTTGCTTTTGGCTGTGGCAGGGAAGCATGCAGGGAAGTAGCAGATTGTACTGCACACTGTAATCAAAATAAGTTTTGCTTTATTGCAGCCTCCACTGAAATGCACTTTTTTCCCAGTCAGATGAGCGTGTGTATGAGTGCATATCTCTACAGCTTCATACATTAATTCGTACAACTTTGGTTTCACCATCATGTCAAGAGGAGTAGTCATTATAACTAGTCACTTAGATTATATTTAGAAATTCTGGCCCTGAGCGTCCTGATTTTGAATAACTATAATGAGTCTTTTGGCTTTTGTGTGTACTGTGAATGAGCAAAAGGCGGTGCCAGATGTAGAGATGCCACTACAGCTTCTCATTTTTCTCAGCTGAAACACAGCTCTCTTTTGTTGTAACTGAAGGAAGTGAACAAAGTTGTCAGACTGGGAGGAAAATGTTTTTTCAAACACAGCTAAGCCTCGAGAAACTACCCTTTTTTGCTCTTTTTCTGTTATTTCCCCCCCTTCCTTCTTCCCCATTCTGCATGTTTTATCCTAAAATAGTCATCCTAAAATCCAGCACTTCCACCTGCTTCCTTTGTGACAATAATGCAAGCAAAGATGCTTCAGTAATACGGGAAAGAAAGGCCTTACTGATTGAAGAAATGGAAGAGAATAGCCAAAAGACATCTTGTTTAAAAGAAAAAAAAAAATCTGCTAACATTTTATCATATAATTTGTCTTGCAGAGTAAGTTCGTTCATTTAAAATAGGAATATAGTTATAAGGACTGGCACTGAAAAGACTTACTTCTGTCAGAGCTTTCTGATTTGGACAAAATTCACATTCCATATGCATAGATTAAAAAAAACCCACAAACCAATAACCAACATTTAAGTAGCAAAGTTTTTATGTACAGTATCATGGAAAGCATGTTTGGAGGTTGGGAAGGGTTTTGGCCAAGCTTCTAAAAAAGAAATGGTAGAGAAGTAGTAAATCACGCAACTTAATATAAAACAGTTTGCTGTTTATTTGGGAAGCTGTGATCAGATATATTTAGGTGTCATATTTTCCATCTGAATGAAAGTAGCTTCTGCTTTTAATTCCCAGGGCTCAGCTGGGTGTGCATTCTTTGTTTTGAAGTATTCAACCAACTTCCTGTAACTTTCTTGTAGCCACCGTATCCAGGTATGGAGCAACCACCTCACCACCCTTACTATCAGCACCATGCACCTCCACCTCAAGCTCACCCTCCATACTCAGGACATCATCCTGTACCACATGAAGCAAGATACAGAGACAAACGAGTAGTAAGTGTCCACAGAGACAGAGGGTGACATGAGTCTGCAGGCCAGAGCATGAATTTTGGGTACAGGTGTAGCCAAACCTGAGATTAGTTGATAAACTGCATTTTTAAGACCTGTCTTAGTTTTCCTTGGAAAGATCAGTTGTTAAGATTGACTAGAGACTTCCAGCATCTTTGAAAAGCTTCTCTCTCACAGGTGACGTGTAAGTGCAAAATACTCAGAACATACTCTTGCACTGACATGTGTGCTTAACATGGCTTCCAGCTGTCTAGCTCTTTGCTGAAGCCCAGTGTGAATAAGGACTTGCCTGCAACATTGCTTGTGCTCATGCAGAGCAAATTATTGGCAGAAAAGTTCATGGTTTATAACTTTTTTAGACACACAAAAATACAGGCAGATTGTTCAGTAATTTCTGTTAGCTGGCTTTGAAGGCTGCTTAGCTTTTGGGTCGCTTGAACCCCAGCATCTGCACAGTGGAAGCACACATGTGGTGCTGCCCTGAAGATGAAAGAAGAAACTTGTTGCTTATGGATCATTGAATGGTTTGGGTTGGAAAGGACCTTAAGATCTTGTAATTCCAACCCCTCTGCCATTTGCAGGGACACCTCACCCTAGACTCTGTAGCCCAAGGCTCTCTCCAACCTGGCCTTGAACACTGCCAGCATTTACCACTTCTTCGGGCAGCCTGTTTCAAGTGCCTCAGCACCCTCACAGTAAAGAACTTCTTCCCTATATCCGACCTGAACTTCCCCTGAATGCTAGATGTAATTTTTCCCCCCTCAAGAGTTACAGCCAATCTTATAGATAAGGCAAGGAGGGGATTTTAACCTGGGAAAGAAAATAAAGAGAGCTGTCCTTTCATCACAGCACGACTATGACATGAGAGTAGATGACTTTCTTCGCCGCACGCAAGCAGTTGTCAGCGGACGGAGAAGCAGGCCTCGGGAGAGGGACCGAGAGCGGGAACGGGACCGTCCTAGAGATAACAGAAGAGACAGAGAACGCGACAGAGGCCGTGATCGGGAAAGGGAGAGAGAGAGGATTTGTGACCGGGACAGAGACAGAGGTGAAAGAGGTAGATACCGAAGATAATCTATCTGGAACCAGTGCTCACTTGAAACAAAAAAAACTTGTATTTTTTTGTGTGTTTACAAGTAGTACCTTTTATTTTCAGCTGTCTACTTAAAGTTCGTTGTGTAGAAGGATTTATAATGACCCTCTCTATTCCAAGCATGCAGTGAACTGTGAACTGGAAAAACTCAAATCGGCCAAAAATAAAACATGCGAAGCTGACGTTCAACTTCACATTTCTATTGGAGCAGAATGGGAAACAGCTGAGAATGTAGATACTGATTAATTCTCAATAAGTGTTCATCTACTTAGTGACTTTATTCTAGGTTTTTGAATACTGATGAATAACTGCCTTTTTTTTTTTTTTCTTTTTCATTTGCTTTGATATTTTCTTCCTGTGTTTTCACATGGTTCAGTGGGAGAATGCTGCTATCAAGTATGCAAATATTGAAGTATGATATTTTTTCTGACTGTATGGCAGTGTTGTAGCAGCCTTTTTTTGTTTTTCTTTTTTTCCCCCCCCTCCTTTTCACCCCCATTTTTTAACCCTATCTGTAAAGTCAAGTGTTTTTTCAGTCTTCAGTAATGAAAGCAATATTAAGAAGACACTATTGATATCTAATTTTTAACCTTTTTAAAAAATATTCCTGTGTTCAGTAACATTTTGGTCAATTCTCTTGTCTAGTCTCCTTCCCAAATGTACACATTGCTTGGAATGTTCACAACCTGCCTGTGTGGAACCAGAAGATATTGCTGTATTCTACACTGCTACAGTTTTTTTTATATAAAAATAAATTGGTAACTATTGAAATGATTAGAACTTCAGGTCGAGTTTCTTGGTCTTCTAACCTTGCCAGCTTTGACAGATTCTGGCAGCTCTAGGAAAGAATTTGTGTTCAAAAATATTTCACAGGTTCTTGTGATAAGTGAAGTTGATCCAAAGCCAGAATTTAGGAAAAGGACTTCTGAAATCAAAGGTAATTTGCTTTTCTGTTTCCACAGTGAGGTAGTCAACAGCTCCTGCAGCTAATCAGAGTTATTAAGGCCATACATGTTCAACTTAATCAGATGATCCTCAAGCCATTGAGAGGCTGTCCTTGGCTGTAATCATACCTGTCTCCCAGGAGTACGTTAGTCCTGCGAGATCCAGACTCTCCCCATGTCTTCTTTATAGCGATTACTGCTTTGCTTGCTGTTTCTCTTAACTAGGAAATATTTCGACCTAAATGCCAATGGTAAAACTGAAAAAGAGAAGTAAAGCTTGTAGTGGAAGTTGTTCAATTCCTCCGCCTATTTCGTACTTCTCAAAACTTGTTGCCATGGTTTAAGCCCAGCCAGTAACTCGGAACCATGCAGCCGATTGCTCACTCCTTTCCCCTCCCCTCCTCTGGGCAGGATGGGGAGGAGAAACAGAAGAATGTAAACCCCGTGGGTTAAGATAAGAACAGTCTAGTAACTATAATACAAAACCACTGCTACTACCACTAATAATGATAAGGGAAGTAACAAGGGGAGAGGATATAAAACTAAAAAGGGAAGGGGGGGAAAAAACAACAATAAACACAAATGATGCACTGTAAAATTGCTCTCCACCTGCTGACCAGTACCCAGCCCGACCTGAGCAGTGATCTGGGACTTGGGGGTAGCTCTCCCCAGTTTATATACTGGGCATGAAGTGCTGTGGTATGGAATAACCCTTTGGCCAGTTCGGGTCAGGTGTCCTGTCTCTGCTTCCTCCCGGCTTCTTGTGTCCCTCCTCACTGGCAGAGCATGAGAGACTGAAAAGTCCTTGACTGGGGTAAAGGAAAATACTCCTTAGCAACAACTAAAACATTGGTGTGTTGTCAGCACTGTTCTCAGTCTAAAGCCGAAACACAACACTGCACCAGCTGGTAGGATGGAGAAAAATGGCTGTTACAACTGAACCCAGGGCACTTGCAGAAGTCGCACTGCCTTAGTGGACTTCATAACCTTTCTTCAGAGTCTTCTCAGATAACAAAGCCAGATTATAGCATTTGCGTCATAGACCACCTTCATTCTTTGATATCTTTATCTGCTTTATATACAGGCTATTTTATAGAAAGTGAGAGTGGTGAGGCACTGGCACAGGTTGCCTAAAGAGGTGGTAAATGTCCCATCGCTGGCAGTGTTCAGGGCCAGGTTGAATGGGACTTTCAACAATCTGGTCTAGTGTGAGGTATCCCTGCCCATGGCAGGAGAGTTGGAATTAGACAATCTGAAGATCCTTTCCAATCTAAACAATTCCATGAATCTCAGGAGAGAGGATTGGTTTTGGTTTGTTCTACCTTTGTTTTTTTAAATTTAGTACTAGATAAGCCAAATTTTTATGAGTAAGTTACAGAAAAGAAGCTCCTCTGTAAGGTGACTGCAGAGCACTTTCTCATCCAGCCCTTCTCAGCTATCCTGTTTCCTGTGCCCTTTGTTAGCCCTATCTGAGCAGTGTCCTAGTAGTGTGCTAAGAGGCTTGCTCTGGCCTACTGGCAACCAACCTGACATTTAAGCAAATCTGGGCTAGCAGAAGCTGGATGATGGGGGCTCTTAGTGATCAAGCTTGGTGGAGCTGTGACTAGGGACCCAGCTCTATGAACGGTGACAGCACAACCTTTAAGATCTGCTGCCTGAATGTTAGGCTGGCCACTTTCTGTTCCCTGTGCATATTTCAGTGTGTGTATTCCTGCATATGATCCCATCATGACCATAGGAACAGCGTAGCAGAAGTTACCATGAGAAGCACTAGTCTTGTTCTAACCCTTCTTTAGTTTCAAAGCAATTCACTTGAGCTTTTGTAAACGTAGTATGGAGGGATTTTGAGCAGACATTGAAGCCATTCACAATGCT